TAAAAATTCATAAAATTCAACTTTTATAGCTAATGATTGAAAATTTAAAACAAGATTCCACGTAAGTAGGTGATATATAAATTACTTTATTCACTTTAGTATCATCAAATATACTTCGTAATATCATAGGCTGACTAACCGTTTTCGCTTAGAATCGTTTTTCTTATACAATGATATTATATCATTGAATTCAAATTTAATATCATCCATTATACAGTGGCCCACTTGTAACCTACTGTACAGCAGAGCACCTTTTTGATATTAATATAGCCGACCTTGACTCCCGTTTAAACTTACCTTCTTACATAACAGAACTGTTTCTTTCAAATTGTGTGTGCCATAAATGACTATAAGTTCTTAGTTCTTCTGTATCCCCGCCAATTTGCTATTTTTGTTACACACCATTCGAAAGACTCTGTATTTCTCAATAATTAAATTTGTATATAATAGATATATTCTAGGTGAACGCCTTAATATATATTTCGTCACTGTTAAACGTGAATGTAATAATGTATATTAAATAACTGATAACTATGATCTTGAAGAAAAATAATAATTAAATGTGTGTCAACAAAGTATTTTAACAATATTTCTGTTTCCTTATTTAAATGGTTTATTCGATGATATTTAAACTGTAAAGAGTGATTAGGTTTCAATTCAAATCAAACCATTCATCCGTATCATTAGATGTTTATGCAAAATTGAATTCGACTGCCAAAAAAATACAACAACTTAATACTGAATAAACGTGGACATTATAATAGAACTATCTATTTAATTTAAAACATCGGATAAATTAATTACAATTTATAGTCCATAAATAATTAGCATACAATGAAAATCGAGAAAAATAAATAATGCTAGATATATTTAGCATTTTAAACTATATAATACAACTTTTTTGTAACTAATAATAATTATAATTTGGTTTTAATTTACTTGGTTGAAAAAAACGCAAGTACCAAATTAATCAAGTTTTAGAAATGAATGGATTTATTGTAAAAATGTACCTAAATACAATTAGATTTGTATAATTTATTCTGCTAAAACTAGCATACAATTACTGTTTATAAGTTAACCTATTCAATTTAAAAAAACATTGTTCATTTGTAAAATTAGGGGCTGGATTTCAATATAATGTGTATTTTATAGGGGGTACTCTAGTACAATGTACATTCCAAGTACCCAATTCGATTCAAGTCACAGATATTTCGAAATTGAAATTGCTTGTATAACTAGTATTTTGGATTTTTAGGTAATTTTGTTAATTTATGAGCATATTTATAAATTGTTTTAAGTTTTTAGTGTGTTAAAAATTGAAGTTAAGTAGTTCAAAATATTATTTCAAGAAATTTAATGCTAAGATGAAACCTAGATAAGTAAGAAATTTGATAAGAAATTTGGTGCTAGGTTTGGATGCAGTGCTCATCAACAGATATATAATAGTTGAAACAGTTTAATGTAGAATTATAAATAATTTTAATTTTATATTTTTGTATGTTTAGAGTCAATAATACTGTAACTTGGATTATGTTATTCACTATAATAAAAACCATCAATGATTTTTGTTTGGGAATTTCTAATTTTTAATCTTAGAATTATTTAACATCCTTAATTATTAAATATTATGCATTTAATTGAATTTTAGTTATAAAATATATATTATTCGGTCAATATTCAAGTGCATTTCTTTTTGCTGTGGTCTAAAGACGGTAATTTGGGACATTTAAATTACTTTTTTAGTATTTTTTGATAGTTATATAGCTACTGCATTACATCAGGACTAGAGTTATAAATTATCAGTATCGTACGACACACTCAACAAAATTATTTAATTTACTGTATATTACTCATTATTGCAGCCTACTATAATGTCTAATACTGCATAATAATAATATTATATCAAAATAAACAATATAAACAGTGATTAATTGTTTTCGCCTGAAATTGAATGCATAAAGTATTTTATTTATCTTGAGTGTATACAAGTTTGCCTATAGTCAGGCCATGTAACTATAATCGGCATCACATGGCTGTTGAAAGAGGATCGATTTTTTGTCGTGTGTTCTATGGATATATCATGATAAAATATAATAAAATATTTCATATCATCTATGGCAATCACCAATAATTGTCGACATTCGTCCGTGACGATTAACGATTTTAATAATATCAGTGAACAAAAAATAAAAAAAAGCCAACAATATATGGACAAGTTTGTTAAGCAGTATATTATATTATTATATTATTATAATGTAAGTTATAACATGAACTCGCACATTTAATTACGTTCAGGTAATTTTCATAAAATATATCGATACTTTCAAGTTGCAGTTCGAAACGAGATGAACACGGATAAAGATAGGTGTTTCTTCGGTGGCGTCAAGTACTGCACGTCTACATTCTCGATGCACTCTAGCTAGGTTTCACCGGAAGAGTCGATATTTAAGCATAAGTTTGTTTTCATGTTATTTTGGGACTTACATTTACTTTTAGACTTTTTTTTTTCTATTAGATATTTACTATCTGTACTTGGCAGCACAACAAGTAAATTTGATAATTTATGTACAATAATTTTAACTTGAATAATATGAAGAGAGAGGCCAACCAGTGATGAAACCCAACGTGAAATTGTTTTAGGTTAGGCAAATCTTTTTAGTATGTTTAAATTTGGTTTTTTTTTAGTTGAAATTGATTATAAGTTTATTTATTACAGTTGTAAGTAAAGATATGAGTGGATTTATTATTAATTTAAATTCAGAAATGAAAGAGGAAAGTTGTGTATCTAAGTTAGATTTAGATTGATTCGCCGTGCCATTTTCAGTATCATTTGGGGGAGTATGTTTAGTATGTTTAGGTGTGTTGGGATGGAGAGATTGCGATGTTAGCGTTGGAAAAGATGAGGTATCTCTTATATTGGGTGGGTTATGGTTGGTTTTAACACCGGAGTCCTCCTTCTCCTTATTTACAATAGAATTATATTTTACATCATTTCTTAAATTATGTTTTTTATTTGGAATATTTTTAAAGTATTGGAAACTTTGAAGGTTTTTGTGGACGGTAGTTAGCCGTGTGATTGCCTCTACAGAGGGCTCAAGCTGGTGATTCGTCTTTGGATTTTGTGCAGGTGGAAGTAGAATGATTGGCAGCACATCTGACGCAGTTTGAAGGGTGGGGACAGTATGATTTGGAGTGTCCGTACTCCTGGCAGTTCATACATTGTACCTATAATGATATGTCTTTTGTACGGCTCATCAATTTTTATTTTTGTATTCAATAAAGAGGTAATATGAAAAATGTCTTTATTTATTTCGCCAGGTTCCAAGTCAATAAAGAAAATTGACAGTTTACTTTTAGTAGTTTTGTTTAAGACGTTGGATACATTACGGACTGAGAAAGGTCCGATTTCGTTTATTGCTATGCCTACTTCTGAAAATGGAGTTAATGGGTGGATGTTTCGAATCACTACTCGGAATGGTTTTTCATCTTGAGCTTGATATGTGTGATATTCGGCCTTACTCTCTTTTAGACAATTAATGGTTGCTCAGTATGATTCAGAGTTGTTGGCTTGAATTTTTAAGTTGTTGATTAATAAATTCTATTAAACTATTCCGGTGCTCTATTGCAAGCAGCCTCTGCCGCCCCCGCCAAGCGTCGTTATTGCCTCAAATTGTTTACCCGTTGCCTCCTCTGCCGGAATATTAGATCGGCTCGGCCATATCCGATGTCATGGAGTCACCGCCGATGGCATGCTGTATAGCAGAATCTAGATTTACGGATCCGCCGCTGCCGATTGGTATGTCGATGGTATGCCGTTCGATGTACATGCGTGTATATTCTTATACACTTTATTATTGGTTTCTACTCATATCACCAACCACACGTGGCGTTTCCGGTATCTACGGATGCGGAAAATGACCAATGACAATACTATATAGACTACTATAATATCAAAGAATAGATTAAATTTACTATATATTATTATGAAATATCCTGTTAGAAAATGCTATGACATATATGTCTGGGAATGACTTTGCATGCGGTTGCTGCGGATACGGATACAATGACCATGAATGCAGTGACGGCCGCGACGGAGGCGGATACATAAATCCAGATTCTCCCACTCAGCACGCCAACGGCAGTGGCCCGATGACATCGAATATGACCGGGTCGATGTAATACTCTGGCCGAAGAGGCGGAGGGTAAGAAAAATTTGCGGCAATAACGATGCTTGGCGGGGGCGGTAGCGGTAGCGGCTGCGTGCAATAGAGCACCGGCCACACGTAAAACCGGAAGTAAGGAACCGGAACCAGCTGCACACTACTGTGGGGTTATCCAATTCTGGGTGTCTCGATCGTCAGCGTTTTCCTTTAACACAAAAATAATCTCAAAATAATAATATAAATACGATAGTGCTTAAATGCGCCCCTGCAGGGATTAAAACTGCTTGTAGTACGACACACTTTGTACGAAATACTAAGTGTGGAATACGATACTAAAAAGACGTGTGTAATGGCCCGTAATAGCTAGTAACTTTTTTTACAGTTTTTCTTCATGAAAAATTATTTGATGATACATTGGAAAATGGATAGATAAGAATTTTAATTATTAATAATAATTTTTATTGGATGAGTCGTTTTTACAAGTTGTACTTATATAGTTATAACTGTTATATATATAGATACAATATTTAAAATATTTCGAATTATCGATACGTTAAATAATACAAATAATTATCAAACAATAGTTAATTAATGTACATAGGTACCTATTCTATTAATAAAATTATTGTTTATGTTTGAAAATCATTTACTATACCTAGGTATATTAATTTTTTTAATGATAAGTATTCCCAAACATTGTGTATATTTGTAATTAAATATTAATAACGTGGTAATGATTAGCTTTTAAAAAAACATTTTATCAATCAATTTCATCACCGAAAAATGCATGGGTATACAGCTCATGCAAACCTAAGGATAAGTTAGCAACTGGTTAAAATGTTGTTAAATAACGTTTCCACATTCTCAAGCGACATAATTAAAGCCTTAGTAAAGTCTGTTGACTTTATGAGCGTCCAACTTGATATTTTTGAAAATCAAATTAAAGAAATTTTTTGTTCTTTAAAACAAATTCAATCAGAAAATAAATTGATTAAAGATCAGACATTAAATTATCCGAAGAAGTTTTACACCTTAACAAAACAATTAACTCACTGGAACGGAAGTCCATTGAAAATAATATTGAACTTGTTGGTGTCCTCGAATTCCCTAAAGAATTGCATCAAAGCTAAACGTTGAAATTGTAGTTCATAACGCGTACAGAGTATTCTCAGGTAAAATTAAAAATCCAAGAAAAATTGTGGCCGTAATTAAGTCAAAAGATTCCAGACAATAATAAAAAAAAAACTCAATCGAAAAAATGGAAATCAAGGCTAATCAACTTCACTGAAATGGGAAAACAACGACATTTTCATCAATGAGCAAACAACATAAGTAAACAGAAATCTCTTTTACAAGGCTAAAAATATTGCACAAGAGGCTGATTTTAAGTTTATATGGTTTAAAAATTCGAAAATTTTTGCAAAAAAATCTGAAACGTATAACGTTTTTATTATTGAAGACGATGACTAACTATCTAAAATAGTGTAGGTAGTAAATGCTTTCATTAAAATAATAATTATTTACTTATTTACTTTCATTTTTATTTGATTATTTTTCATTTTATTATTATTTTTGTTAACTAATTATTACAAACATGGATATTCTTAATTCGGTTAATCTATATTTAAATTATAAAACTAAATACTACGAATCCGTTTCGGAGTATTTTTATGAATTAAATCTGACCAAAAAAGATTTTCTTAATGTAAGATGTGTTAATATAAGAAGTGCCTTTGCAAATTTTGATAATTTACTTTTATCTTTAGAAAATGATGAAAATTACAGATATTTATATGTAATTATATTAACTGAAACTGGAAACACACTAAAACCGATAATTTCATTACAGAATAGAGTAGTTTGTATCTCCCTCAATAAAATAGTTCTACATATGATAATTACAAAGAACTGAAAGTACTTCCTCTAAATTTCTTATATAAAAAATATTCTATTTCATTTACTTAAAAAAATCATTTTAAATTTGATCCAAATATAAATAAATGTGTCTATATAAGATACGATCTAAATGTCAATTATTCCAAAAAAGGTATTGGTCAGAAATTTGTAGACTACTTAGGATCAACTTATTTCAATAATCTAGAAAATAATTTTAATAGGTATCTTAGATTGAATAATTATAGTAATATAAATAAATATTTATCTAATGTTTTTATAACTAATTTGTTATCTTAATTACCTAGTTTATAACTTTCTCATTATTACTTGTTATTTTTGTTATAAATTGTAAATTGTAAATTGTACCTATATGCTGTATTGCTGTGTAATCTCTAAGAAAATAACTCTCTACCTTCAACTCAAGCTTCGCTTAAAGAAGGTAGCTAAATCAAATTATTTGTTCAGAATACTTTTACTTGCATTTATATTATAATATTATATTTAATAATAAGTTTATACAAAAAAAAAAATTCATGTGATTATGAGTAATATTGTAGTCTGGAGATCGTTTTTTCTAAAATCAGGGATTTTTATTTCGTAATTCACTGTCTGAATATAGTTCAGTGTTAACTCCAAGTTTAATGTAAAGTGCATAGTACGAAAAAAATATATTTTAGCCTCTGAGTCCATTTAAAAGTTGTCCACCACTAAGTCAAAAAGCTTAAAAACTCAATACAAAGTTTCTCCTGATAAGTCCTTATATTGTAATATTAATACCTAGAAGTTGAAAAATATTAAACGTACCTAGAGCAATTTTTTTTAAGCATTTAAAGTTTAAATGACGACAAAATTTGATATTTAAACAAAGCGTTTTAGTTATTTTATTGCAGTAAAAAAATATTATTCACGGAACCTATATTTGAAACTGTAGTTGAACCATACAATTATATACACAAAAATGGCATTTTTTGGGCAAAATTGAATTCAACCTACATCGGATTATTAACGACCAATATGCAATAGTAAAATAAATTACCTACTTTATAATAGTTTAATAGAGATTTGGTATAAAATATAAATGTATAATATATGTCTTAAGATATTATAAGTAGTTAGAAAATAGTATTACGCGACTGACAGACTGCCTTCGCTCCGAATCGTTTTTCGTGTTCAACGATTTTGTATTCCATTACAAGTACGATCTGTCAAAGATAGGAGGTCAACAATCGAGAACTATAATATGCGACCATTCAATAGTAGAAGACATACCACCTAAAGTTAAAATTTTTCAAGTCCTACTACCTACTGCCTACCTCCTACTGCTATACAGGTAAGTACTTACAGCCGTGCTAAAGTTATTTTTGTTTTTATAGTTTTTTAAGAATCAATATTAAACAGTATGCTTATTTGTTCAATTAATTTTAAAACTGCAGGTATATAGTAAATACCAATAGTTTATTAACTCTAGTTTTACTAATATTGTGAAACTAATATTAATAACTAATAAAATGAAACTCATCACTATATCCTGCAGTTCTGTAAAGGTAGGTACCAATTTTTAGACTTAGATTGGGCTCTGGTTGAAATCTCTATTCTATTACAAATTTCTTCGGTTAAAGAAAAATTTGACCTATTCTATAATTGCTCTATAGTTACTTTAGCTTTAGATTTTTGTTTACGAATTAATTGACCAACTATCATAATATTATTTGGATGATTAATGTTAATATCTTCAATGAGTACCTAAAGCAGAAAGCTTGATGGTTGGAAGGGATGTAAATACACCTGTGAAAGATTCAGTAAACTAAACTTTTTTTTTATAAAAATATAGGTATACTTAAATATACTGGTAGTAATTGGCGTTGACCATATATTATTATTATCTGCTAATAGTTTGTAATTTTTAGGTAGGCGCCTATTGTAAACATTTTCCATAAGCGTTTTAAGTTCAAAAATTGACAAAATATGGAAAAATCACGAAAATTAGCAAATTATTTTGAGTTAAGAATTCGTAAAAATTTTTCTTTTTAAATCTAAGATTTGAAAATATAATACAAGATTACTCATAAGTTTGTCTACCTTTATCAATAAAAAAATCTCTACCGGAAAGTCAAATTAAATTTTTATGAGCGTTTGAAATTCAAATTTTTACAACATTGGATATTCACTCGATTTCTCATGTAGCGATTTTCCTTATTTTGTTGTAATTCAAAAACGAATAACTGTAGATACATGAAAAATTCACTGAATGTTCATATTAGCATTTCCTATACACTGTAAAATGTTTAAAATATTTTGACTCTTTTTAAGCTGTTCACGGACATTTTCAGTTTCTAATTTTTTTAGTTTTTTTTCCTATAAATATCAATAAAGTTTTATCTGTTGGGCCAAAAAGTGTAAAAATGTAATACAATGCTCCTGATATATTGTTACAATAGCAATTGAAAAATATTAAAAATACAGAGGCACAATTTTTTTTTATAAGCATTTAAAGATCGAATTTTGACAAAATGTATCAAAATCTCGAAAATTATCAATCATTGTAATTAATAAATTATAAAATGTTCAGTTTTTTTAGCTAAGTTTTGTAAATTTAAAACAAAGGTTTTCATAAATATAGTTCATACTGTACACAAAAAATCTAAAAAATATATGAACACAGTTATTTTTTACAGACATTTTAAATTCAAATTTGGACGAAATTACATATTAAAATCAATATTAACGATCTTGGTTTTTTGTTGTAATTTAAAAATATTATTCGGAAATATATGAAACTGAAAAATCAAAATATTATGGCCTATCCATACAATCTACCATAGTATAAGGAGTAAGAAGTATGCTCAATGATAAGACTGTGCATATTTTAAAGGACAATGAATAATTTTTCATAAATTCCATATAATTTAATACCATAGATAACTGATAGGTAGGTATATAATATGTCTTATACCTAGACTGACATACCGTCTCCGCTCAGAATCGTTTTTTCTTATACAGTGATATTATATCATTGAATTCAAATTTAATACCATCCATTATACAATGACCCACTTGTAACCTACACTCTACAGTACAGCAGAGCGACATCCACTTACCCACCTTTTTTTTCTATGAATGTCAATAAAATTTTATTTGTTGAAAATGTAATAGGTACAAGTCTCTTAATAAATAATTGTTACAATGACATTTGAAAAGTATTAAAAATCCATTTTTTAATCCAATTTAAAGTTCGAATGATGACAAAACACGTAAAAATCACGAAAATTAATTTTTAGTTAGAAATTCGTAAAAAATTGTTCTTTTTAAATCCAAGATTCGAAAATGTATTACAAGATCCCTCATAAGTTTGTCTACCTGTATCAAAAAAAAAAAATGTCTACAAGAATTGTCAAGAAAGTTAAATTAAATTTTCATGAGCGTTTGAAGTTCATATTTTTACAACGTTGGATATTCACTCTGTACTATCACAGAATATAATAATCTATACCACGGTCTTAGAAGATACCTTTATATCTTTAATCGTTGTCGGTGCCTATCACGAGTCTCGTATCAGCACAGTATCAGCAAATGGCGAATGCAGCTGATCTTTGTTGCTTGTTTAACGACTTGGTCAATTATTTTTCTTTGACATAGTTTGTCCTGTGATTATCATTGTAAATGTAAAATAATTGCAATATATCAGTCTATGCGTGCGGCGGCGGCTCTGTAATTGTCCATTTATTCTTATCGTTCATCGACTTTTCCCAGCGCATCGAACAGAAAAATAATTCATCCGGTAGGTACACGGACGCATTATCCACGATGAGGGCGTGTCAGTTGTTCAAAACGCTTCATATCAAGCCAGCGCTTGTGACCGGTTTCGAACACGGCGGCGGCTGTTCGACTTTGAGGCTGCCCTCGATCTCTATCAGAAGATCTATGGTGAGTTGCTTTTGCATCATCTCGTCCTGCCCATAGTTTTAATTTCCAGTAACCTATATTGCTTTTAACGCCGGATTTCTGTGTCAAAAAAAATCGCTGTTTAATACTACCCAGGTATTTGTGATTTACAATGTTTAAGGCTTCCAAATGTGATGTTGGTGTCCGCAAGGAATCCGACACCTTTGGTGAACTGGACGTGCCAAGCGATCGTTACTATGGTGCCCAAACGGTGAGGTCGACGATGAACTTTCGTATTGGAGGCGAAAAAGAACAGATGCCGGTATGTGCAGTCTTTGTACAAAGTTATTTGAAATTAAATATTAAGAATATTTTAATAATATTACATAGTTAGGGGCTTGAATAAATAAGTGCAAGTTTAATAGAATTTTCAATTTTGCACAGTAAATATTTACTATTATTTCCAAGTAAAAACTAAAATTCCTTTTAATTATCTGTGTTGATGACGAAATTAATTTTTATTAGATTTGTACCTAAACTATATTCTGTTAATTTAATAATCAATTTCAACATTAAATATTGATATTACCTTCAGTTCCTGGCATGTAAAATGATTGAATTTCTAATTTTAATAGTATAAATACATATTAGGTATGTTTAAGATTTTAATATGTAAATTTTCATATATGTAATCTATTCAAAATAAATTTACTTATTATGTAATTACTGGTTTTTTAGTATCCAGTAATTGTGGCTATGGGCATACTGAAAAAAGCGGCAGCTGAAGTAAATAAAGAATTTGGCCTTGATGCTAAAATTGCTGATGCAATAAGCAAAGCAGCAGATGAAGTAATCAGCGGAAAACTTTACAATGAAGGACATTTTCCTTTGGTAATATGGCAAACTGGATCTGGTACACAGTCAAATATGAACACAAATGAAGTATGTACAAACCAATTTATTGATTCAATTTTAAGATGTAACAAAAACCTTACAGTTTAATGAAATGTGCCTATTTCAGGTGATTAGCAATAGAGCTATTGAAATTCTGGGGGGAGAATTGGGATCAAAAATTCCAGTTCACCCTAATGACCATGTAAATAAAAGTCAGAGTTCCAATGACACTTTTCCAACAGCCATGCACATTGCAGTAGCAATGGAATTAAATAACTTATTGTTACCGTCATTAAAACATCTACATAAGGAATTAGATAAAAAAGCAAAAGAATTCTCCGGCATAATAAAAATTGGCCGAACACACACACAAGTGAGAATAATAGTTAATTGATTTTAATACACTTAAAATTATATGTACATGATATTTCTTGATCATGTGGATTCTATATTTATTTGTGAGCTCTTTAATAAATAAAATCACTATACATTTTTTAATTCTAGCTTTAAAGTGTTGTGAATAGTTTGACATTAGTTTTCCTTAACCCTTTCACTGCTATGGACGTACTATTACGTTCCTTTATCTATAAAACGAAATACGCAGGTTATCACATTAGTGAATACACCGAAAAATGCAGATAATAGATAATAACTTATATATCAAGTCAATTTTTTTTTTTTTTAACTTTAACTTATGGTTCAATTTAATTAAATTCATCATTTAGGGACATAAAAAAAAAAAAAAACAAAAATAATTTAGCAGAGATGAGTATTTTAGGAAAAAAAAACTTAGCACTGAAAAGGTTAATAGGAAAGTAGGACACTTCCTAAAAGTTTTTGAAAATTACTGATACCTATTGGCTATAATTATAAAATACTACTTAATTACTACTATACTACATATTATACACTCATATCAATATTCAATTAAAAATATACAATCTGTAAAACTACATAATTAAAATAAGCTTGCTTTTTCTTTTAATGTTGATTTTATTGTTTTAAAAAAAATTCAAAAAATATTTTTAGGCTTTTTATGTAAAATAAATTTATCCACATTTATCTAGTGTGATTATTAACAATTGAGCATAATTCAAAATTAACAATACACATTAAAATATAGTTTTATGTTATTTCAAATATTAAAGTATATTATAATACGTTAGGTATATGGTTTTCTGTGTACTAATAGAGTTGTAAATTATTTTTGTTTTAGGATGCTACACCTTTAACTTTAGAACAAGAATTCAGTGGATATGTTAGACAATTACATAATGGTATCAAAAGAGTAGAAAATACCTTACCTCATCTGTATGAACTGGGTTTGGGTGGTACAGCTGTCGGAACAGGCTTGAATACTAGAATTGGTTTTGCTGAAAAATGTGCTGAAAAGATTAGTCAGTTAACCAAGTTGCCATTTATAAAATCTCCAAATTTCTTTGAATCACTGGCTGCTCATGATGCTATGGTAGAGGTATCAGGTGCACTAAATGTACTCTCGTGCAGCTTAATGAAGATTGCTAACGATATCAGGTTCCTTGCGTCTGGACCGAGGAGTGGCTTAGGCGAACTGTCTTTACCAGAAAATGAACCAGGGAGCAGTATTATGCCTGGTATTAAATAATAATTTTAACTCTCACTGATTATAATATTATTATGATATATTTACCATTATAAAGAGGACATAACACTGGCATTTGTGCGTAACTTAGCAAATATATGCTCATCAGATCACATATAGCTTTGTTAGTGAATCGACTTATTATGAAACTTGATGTTAAGAACATTATCTATGTTTATATGTGGGTTTTTACCATAGTTCAATTTTTTAGCAAGTTTTGCGTGTATAATATAGCATAAACTAAAAATGATCCTAACTCACTTAAAGACTGAATTATCGTAAAAACTCACGCATACACACAGATAATGCTCTTACCACAAAATAGGTTTGATTCACTCTAATTTTTAAACTAACGATGCCAAACATAATCTTCTGAGCCTAAATTTGCGGTTACGCACTCGTAAGACAGATACAACAAATATCAGTGTTACGACCTCTTAATTGTTATTCTATTATTGTGATTTAGGAAAAGTAAACCCTACCCAATGTGAGGCAATGACAATGGTGTGTGCTCAAGTGATGGGTAACCACGTAGCGGTAACGGTTGGTGGCAGCAACGGTCACTTTGAATTGAATGTTTTCAAACCTATGATTGTGTCCAATGTGTTAAGATCTACAAGGCTTTTGGCAGATAGCTGTATGTCATTTACAGATAATTGTGTTGTTGGAATCGAAGCCAATAAAGAGAGAATTTCTCATCTTTTACAAAATTCTCTTATGTTGGTTACTGCTTTGAATCCACATATAGGATATGATAAAGTAAGATAGTCTATGGTTTATAAACTTAATTTAAATACATAGCAAGCCAAATTTATAAATTTAATAAATATAAATTTCAGGCTGCTAAAATTGCAAAAACAGCGCATAAAAATGGATCGACACTGAAAGAAACTGCATTACAACTTGGATACTTAACCGAAGAAGAATTTGATAAATGGGTCAGACCAGAAGATATGTTGGGACCCAAATAATTAATTTTTTTCAGCATAGGTGTAAAATTACTTATATGTTTTTATCTGTTAATAATGTTAAAAATGTTCTACATTAATTTGAAAAAAAAGAACAATAAATTGAAATGAATATTTTTTAGTTGATATTATAATTTTTTTTTGTCATTACATTTATTTGCAATAAGCAATTACTTTCAAACCCTGCCATAGAAATATAGTAAAAATTTTAACATAATATTATTTGTATTTAAAATTTACAAGTTGAACGCCGATATCGATTTGGCCATCGCTAATTGTAAAATTAGTAGATTTTACGGAATTGTCAATATGGTTATGAATTTCCGATAAAAATTTCAAATGTGTTCAGCTATAGCCACAAATAAAGACTCAATACAAAACAGGTTACTCTATGTCAACCACAGGTTGACCCCGGCGTTCAATGTGTTAAAGTACATATCTAAAGAGTCATTGAGTAGATTTACTTGAACAGGCTTTGTGTTTATTGCTTCTAATGCTGCCAAATATTCTATTAATTATTATTAATAAATAACATTTTATTAACACTGCTCACATAAGACATACACTCTTTTTATGATTAAAAGTTTATTTGCTGCAATCAGTTTCTGCCAGGAAGAAATCAATCAACAAAAGTCCATTACCATCGCCAAGACTACCATCTGCGTAGGTAACTAAGCCCCGTTAGTGAGCACAAGTATTGGTCGCCAAATGTTTCTTAACTTAAATAGTGTATAGTTTGTACAATCTATATTAAATATGGGTAACAGGTAAATAACATTATAATAGGAAACAATGGTTGTCAATAAAGTATTGTTTTGTATTAAAAATTTCCTACAAAAATATTTAAGAGGATGTCACATGTATTGTCTCCATCTTACAAATGTACTACATAGCAAAAACTGTTTTGACCGGGACAACTTTTATCTGTGTTTGAAGTAACGGCTCTAACATTTCTGAACATACACAGTAGACAATTATCTATGCAACAGCGTGCCCATATTTTAGATAACATAAAAACAATAAAAGTTATTTGCTTCCTTCTAAACGTTTGGTTTTTAGATTCTGAGCGGAGCGATGAATGTATTGGTTTTACAATGATGTGTGTTTTTTTTTATATTTTTATATTTTTTTTTGTGTCTGTCATCACGTTTTGGGACAGTAAAAGTGCTTCGATTTTCTTCAATAGTACCTTTTCTGATAGGAAAGTGAATCTAGTTGGTACTTTGGGGGGTCAAAAGTAAACATTTTCCAGTAGTTTTCACAAGCGCCGGGAAAAACAACATAAAAATTAAGGAAAAACGGGAATTTTTACGCAAAATCGATTTTCCAAAAAATCGAATTTGGTTTTTGGTGTAAATTTAAAACAAATCACCGTAGATCCATGAAATTTTCACTGGTTGTTTATATTTGCATTTTCTATACACGATAACATTTTCAAAATATTTTGATTTATTTTGAACTGTTTAGGGACATTTTCATTTTCCATTTTTTTTTAGTTTTTTTTCTAAAAATATCAATAAAATTTTATTTGTTGGTTGCGAAAGCTTGAAAATTTAATAGAAGGCTCCTAATATGTTGTTTCAAAGGCAGATGAAAAATATTAAAAATCCTTAATCACAATTTTTTTTATAAGCATTTAAAGTTCAAAAATTGACAAAATATGGAAAAATCACGAAAATTAGCAAATTATTTTGAGTTAAGAATTCGTCAAAATTTTTCTTTTTAAATCTAAGATTTGAAAATGAAACACAAGATTCCTTATAAGATTATCTACCTTTATCAATAAAAAAATCTCTACCGGACAGTCAAGTTAAATTTTTATGAGCGATTGAAATTCAAATTTTTACAACATTGGATATTCACTCGATTACTCATGTAGCGATTTCTTTATTTTGTTGCAATTCAGAAACGAACAACTGTAGATACATGAAAATTTCACTGAATGTTTAAATTAGCATTTTCTATACACCATACAATTTTGAAAATATTTTGACTCTTTTTGAGCTGTTTATGGACATTTACAGCTTTCAATTTTTTTAGTTTTTTTTTCTATAAATATCAATTAAGTTTTATCTGTTGCACCAAAAAGTGTAAAAATTTAATACAAGGCTCCTGATATATTGTTACAATATCAGTTGAAAAATATTAAAAATACATAGGCACGATTTTTTTTTATAAGCATTTAAAGTTGGAATTTTGACAAAATTTATCAAAATCTCGAAAATTATCAATCGTTGGACTTAAAAAATTATAAAATGTTGAGTTTTTATAACTAAGAGTTGAAAATTTAAAACAAAGATTCTCTTAAATAATTCATACTGTAACCAAAAATTCTAAAAAATATATAAACACACTTATTTTTTACAGACATTTTAATTTCAAATTTAGACAAAATTTCATATTTAAACCAAGAATTACGATTTTAGTTATTTTGTTGTGATTGAATAATATTATTCGTGGGTACTTGAAACTTCTAAAGTGTACTATTATATATCTATGATAGTATCACGGTTTTTGTTGATGTATAACGCGTTATAAGTATCTAATGGATATTGTGATATGATTAGTTTGGAATTTATTATAGGTACCTATTATAGGTCAATTTTTGTTTAATACCATAGATATGTATATAATATGTCTTATACATAGACTGACATACCGTCACCGCTCAGAATCGTTTTTCTTATACAATGATATTATATCATTGAATTCAAATTTAATACCATCCATTATACAGTGACCCACTTGTAACCTACTGTACAGCAGAGCGACACCCACTTGCCCACCTTTTTTTTTATATATATTTTTATATTTTTTTATTTTTGTGTCTGTCATCACGTTTTAGGACAGTAAAAGTGCTTGGATTTTCTTCATCAGTAGCTTTTCTGATAGGAAAGTGAATCTAGTTGGTACTTTGGGGGGTCAAAAGTATAAATTTCCCAGTAGTTTTCACAAGCGCCGGGAAAAACAACATAAAAATTAAGGAAAAACGGGAATTTTTACGCAAAATTGGTTTTCCAAAAAATCGATTTTGGTTATTGGTGTAACTCTAAAACAATTGAACGTATATACATGAAATTTTCACTGGTTGTTTATATTTTCATTTTCTATACACGATAACATTTTCAAAATATTTTGATTTATTTTGAACTGTTTAGGGACATTTTCATTTTTCATTTTTTTTTAGTTTTTTTTCTAGAAATATCAATAAAATTTTATTTGTTGGTTGCGAAAGCTTGAAAATTTAATAGAAGGCTCCTAATATGTTGTTTTAAAGGCAGATGAAAAATATTAAAAATCCTTAGTCACAATTTTTTTTTATAAGCGTTTTAAGTTCAAAAATTGACAAAATATGGAAAAATCACGAAAATTAGCAAATTATTTTGAGTTAAGAATTCGTAAAAATTTTTCTTTTTAAATCTAAGATTTGAAAATATAATACAAGATTACTCATAAGTTTGTCTACCTTTATCAATAAAAAAATCTCTACCGGACAGTCAAATTAATTTTTTATGAGCGTTTGAAATTCAAATTTTTACAACATTGGATATTCACTCGATTACTCATGTAGCGATTTCCTTATTTTGTTGCAATTCAAAAACGAACAACTGTAGATACATGAAAATTTCACTGAATGTTTAAATTAGCATTTTCTATACACCATACAATTTTGAAAATATTTTGACTCTTTTTGAGCTGTTTATGGACATTTACAGCTTTCAATTTTTTTTAGTTTTTTTTTCTATAAATATCAATAAAGTTTTATCTGTTGGGCCAAAAAGTGTAAAAATTTAATACAAGGCTCCTGATATATTGTTACAATATCAGTTGAAAAATATTAAAAATACATAGGCACAGTTTTTTTTTATAAGCATTTAAAGATCAAATTTTGACAAAATTTATCAAAATCTCGAAAATTATCAATCATTGTAATTAATAAATTATAAAATGTTCAGTTTTTATAGCTAAGGATTACAAATTCAACACAAAGGTTCTCATAAATAGTTCATACTATAACCAAAAAATCTAAAAAATATATGAACACACTTATTTTTTACAGACATTTTAAATTCAAATTTGGACGAAATTACATATTAAAAAACCTAGAATAACTATTTTAGTTATTTTGTTGTGATTGAATATTATTCGTGGGTACTTGAAACTTCTAAAGTGTACTATTATATATCTATGATAGTATCACGGTTTTTGTTGATGTATAACGCGTTATAAGTATCTAATGGATATTGTGATATGATTAATTTGGAATTTATTATAGGTACCTATTATAGGTCAATTTTTTGTTTAATACCATAGATATGTATATAATGTCTTATACCTAGACTGACATACCATCTCCGCTCAGAATCGTTTTTCTTATACAATAATATTAAACCATTGAATTCAAATTTAATATTATCCATTATACAGTGACCCATTTGTAACCTACACTCTACAGTACAGCAGAGCGACACCCACTTGCCCACCTTTTTTTTAATTTGCTTATCAAAAATGAATGGGAAGTGCTATTAAAAAAAGCACGCCGTTGCGCAGATAAATTTCTTTTTTAAGTGTTGTGAAAATTTGGTAGTTCTACAACAAATATGGTGCGAGAAAAGTTGTCTCGAGCAAAACACTTTTTGCTATGTTGTACATTTGTAAAACGGAGACAACACACGCGGGTGTGATATCCTCTTAACTTAATTAACATTATACCTAGTATTTTAAAATAAAATAACAATCAGTTTTTGCTTCTTTAGCACTTTAAAAATATAGAAAATATACAGCTATCAATTAGAAAGTCGCTATTTCCGCGTCAGACGGATATTAAGTGTTAACAAATATCATAAAAAAAATAAAAATTATTAATTTAGTTTTAGGTAATAATTTACATGACAAATTGTCATGATTACCTTTTTGTAACATTGAACTCAGGTTTACTTAGTGATTGATAATTTTGTTGTTTTTAAATATTTTAGTTGCTTTTATTTGGAATAACAAAATTA